GAATGCCTTAAGGAAAGGAAGAAAAGGAGAGAAACAGAGAGGAACACAGGTACAAAAATGGCAATGAATAAGTACCTATCAATAATAACCTTAAATGTACATGGATCAAATGCTCCAATCAAAAAACACAGAATAGCTCAATGGATAAGAAAGCGTGACCCACACATCTGCTGCCTACAAGAGACCCAGCTCAGGACAAAAGACCATCACAGACTGACAATCAAAGGCTGGGAACAAATTTTTCAAGCAAACTGACAAGAAAAAAATCTGGGGTAGCAATTCTCATATCAGACAAAATAGACTTCAAAAAAAGGGCTATAAAGAGACACCCAGAAGGTCACATCATAATACTCAAGGGAAGAATCCACCAAGAAGACATTAACATCCTAAATATATATGCACCCAACATAGGAGCACTCAAATATATACAGAAAATCTTAGAGGACTTCAAGAAAGATATTGACAGCAACACAATTATAGAAGGCGATTTTAACAACCCACTATCAAAAATGGACAGATCTTCCAAACAAAATATCAACAAAGATATTGCAGCATTAAACAATACCCTTGATGAAATGGACTTAAGTGATACATATAGAACCCTTCATCCAAAAGAAGCTAAATACACATTCTTTTCAAATGCACATGGAACATTTTCAAAGGTAGACCACATGATAGGACACAAAATGAGCCTCAACAAAATTGAAATCATACCAAGTATTTTCTCTGACCACAAAGGACTGAAATTTGAAACCAACCCCAAAGGAAAAAATCCAAAACACCCAAAATCATGGAGACTGAATGCCGTGCTACTAAACAATGTATCGATCAAGAATGAAATTAGGGAAGAAATCAAAGATTCTGGAAACAAATGAAAATGAACTCACAACCAAAAACGTTTGGGACACAGTGAAGGCAGTCCTGAGAGGAAAATTCATAGCAATACAGGCCTACCTAAAGAAGATAGAAACATTTCAAACAACCTAACCCTATGCCTGCAAGAATTCGAGGAACAACAACAAAGACAGCCAAGAGCAAGTAGAAGGAAGGAAATAACCAAGATCAGAGCAGAACTAAATGACGTAGAGACTAAAAGCACAATTCTAAGGATCAATGAATCCAGGAGTTGGTTCTTTGAAAAGATAAACAAAATAGACAATCCTTTAAGTAGGCTCATCAAGAAAAGAAGAGAGAGGACACAAATAAACACAATCAGAAATGAAAGAGGACAGATTACAACTGATACCAGAGAAATAGAAGGGACTGTAAGAAATTACTATGAAGAACTGTATGCCAAGAAATTTGAAAACCTAGGGGAAATGGACACATTTCTGGAAAAATATAATCTTCTGAAACTCAATGAAAAAGAAGCAGAAAACCTGAACAAACCATTAACAGCAAATGAAATTGAAGCAGTAATCAATAAACTCCCATCACACAAAAGCCCTGGATTAGATGGTTTCACAGGAGGATTCTACAAAGCATTTAAGGAAGAGCTAACCCCTGTTCTCCACAGACTATTCCAAAAAATCCAAAAGGTGAAAAACCCCCAAACTCTTTTTATGGAGCCAGCATCATCCTAATTCCAAAACCAGATAGAGACACATCAAAAAAAAAAAGAAAACTTCAGGCCAATATCACTAATGAACGTAGATGCTAAAATCCTCAACAAAATATTGGCAAATCGCATCCAACAATATATCAAAAAGATCATACACCATGACCAAGTGGGATACATCCCAATGAAGCAAGGATGGTTCAATATTTGCAAATCAGTAAATGTAATACATCACATAACCAAAAGCAAAGACAAAAACCACATGATCATATCAACAGATGCAGAAAAAGCTGTTGATAAGGTACAACACCCATTTATGATAAAAACACTCAGCAAAGTGGGAATAGAGGGAGCATTACTCAATATAATAAAGGCCATATATGAAAGACCTATAGCCAACATCATACTCAATGGGCAAAAACTAAAAGCTTTTCCACTAGGATCAGGAACAAGGGAGGATATCCACTTTCACCACTTCAATTCAATATAGTATTGGAAGGTTTAGCCATAGTGATCAGGCAAGAAAAAGAAATAAAAGGCATCCAAATAGGAAAGGAGGAAACAAAATTGTCACTGTTTGCAGATGACATGACAGTGTACATGGAAAATCCTATAGACTCTACCAAAAAACTGCTCAAACTAATTAATGAATTTGGCAAAACAGTATGTTACAAAGTCAATATTCTGAAATCAAAGGCATTTTTGTATACCAACAATGAATCAGCAGAAACAGAAATCAAGGAAAAAATCCCATTCAATATAGCAAAAACAAAAATAAAATACCTGGGAATAAACCTAACCAAGGAGGTAAAAGACCTGTATGCAAAAAAACTACACAACACTGAAGAAAGAAATCAAGGAAGACACAAACAAATGGAAACATATACCATGTTCACGGGTTGGAAGAATTAACATCATCAAAATGTCCATACTATCCAAAGCAATTTACAGATTCAATGCAATACCTATTAAAGTGCCAATGGCATATTTCACAGATATAGAACAAACACTTCAAAAATTTATATGGGCCCTGGCTGGCGCAGCTCAGTGGATTGAGTGTGGGCCTGTGAAATAGAGTATCACGGTTCGATTCCCACTCAGGGCACATGCCTGTGTTGCAGGCCAGTTCCCAGCAGGGGACACTTAAGAAGCAACCATACATTGATATTTCTCTCTCACTGTTTCTCCTTCCCTTCTTTTCTCTCAAAAAATAAATAAATAAAATATTTTTTAAAACTTTATATGGAATGATAAATGACCCCAAATAGCAGCTGCAAATTTGAGAAAGAAGAACAAAGTAGGAGGGATCACAATACCTGATATCAAACTGTATTACAAGGCCACAGTAATCGAAACAGCCTTGTACTGGCATAAAAACAGGCACATAGACCAATGGAACAGAACAGACAGCCCAGAAATAAACCCAACTGTCTACAGTCAATTAATATTCGACAAAAAGGGCAGTAACATAAAATGGAATAAAGATAGCATCTTTGACAAACGGTGTTGGGAGAACTGGACAGCTATGTGCAAAAAAAATGAAACTTGAGCACAAATTTACACCATACACCAAAATAAATTCAAGGTGGATAAAAGACTTAAATATAAGCCTTGACACAATTAAAGTCCTAGAGGAGAACATTGGCAAGAAAATCTCAGATATTTCACGCAGCAACATTTTTACCGATATGTTCCCTAGAGCAAGGAATATAAAGGAAAGAATAAACAAATGGGATCTCATCAAAATAAAAAGCTTCTGCATGGCTAAAGAAAACAGTATTAAATTAGCAAGACAACCAACTGTATGGGAAAACATATTTGCCAATGATACCACAGACAAAGGTTTAATCTCCAAAATAGACAAAGAACTTACACGACTCCACTCTAAGAAGACATCTAACCCAATTAAAAAATGGGAAAAGGACTTGAACAGACATTTCTCCAAGGAGCACATACAAAACATTCAGAGACACATGAAGAGATGCTCAATATCACTAGCCATCAGAGAGATGCAAATTAAAACCACAATGAGATACCACTTTACACCAGTCAGGATGGCTATTATAAACAAAGCAACAAACAACAAATGTTGGAGAGGGTGTGGGGAAAAGCGGTCCTTAGTTCACTGTTGGTGGGATTCCAGACTGTTACAACCACTATGGAAAACAGTATGGAATTTTCTCAGAAAAATAAAAGTGGACCTGCCTTTTGACCCAGCAATTCCACTGCTAGGATTATATCCTAAGAATCCTAAAACATCATTTTCAAAGAACCTATGCACCACAATGGTCATAGCAGCACAATTTACAATAGCCAAGAGTTGGAAGCAACCTAGGTGCCCATCAGTAAATGAATGGATCAAAAAATTGTGCTACATATACACAATGGAATTCTATGCAGCAGAGAGAAAGAAGGAGCTCCTACCCTTTGCAACAACATGGATGGAACTGGAAAGCATTATGCTGAGTGAAATAGGCCAGGTGTTGAAAGACAAATACCATATGATATCACCTTGAACAGGAAGCTAAACAACAAAACAAACAAGCAAGCAGAATAAAAACAAAGACACTGAAATAGAGAACAAGGGGACAGTGACCAGAGGGAAGAGGGAAGGGAATTTAAGGGGGGGAAGGGAGAGATTTGGAGAAGCAAACATGAAGAACACAGGGATGAGAACTGGGGGGGGGTGGAAATGGGAGGGAGGTGGGGAGCACGGGGTGGGGGGGCTGGGATGAGAGAAACAGGCAAAAAACTGTACTTGAAAAATAACTAAATAAAATTATTGAGAAGAAAAATCCACATTCCCCCTGCCAAAAAAACCTATCATTTTCTTTTTTAATATACTTTCCTAACTTTGTAGAGACTTGTTTGCAAACCCCAAAGGGTTAAAATTTTTATTCAGAAAACATGACACCTGTCCCCAGGGTTCCTGAGATTTCTGCAACAATTTCCAGGATCTCAACCTCTTCCTTCATGAACTCCACTCTTAGCACAAAAACAAAACTTAAAAAAAGAGAAAAAGGCTTAATGTACAATCTCTCAGAAACATGCACAAATTTTCTGCGACCCCAAAGCAATGCAAGAGGAGCCAGACCATGGTGGCCTTTATAGTCCAAAAAATAACTTAATTTTATACACTGTAAACTTGTTTTAAAGATTGTATGTATATATTTTTAGAAAGTAAGGGCTTTGGCCAAAAATGTTAGTAGGATAATGAAGGTCACTGGAGTAAAGACAGAATTCTGAAAGCATGTAGGAGCATGAAATACTGTGGGAGATGACCTGTCCCTCTACGATAGCAACAGAAATAAGCCTGAGCTTTTCAAAATCCTTTCCACTGAAGCACAGCTTCCCAAATTACACTTGAAGTTCTGGCTTCCTCTGAGACCTTTGTGTTACTCACTTATGACATCCGCACCTGCATTCTCACTTACCTGGGGGGGCAGATATTGACTTTTTCTGGAAACATCTCAGCCTTCCTTCATTTCCTCCAAAAATGCCACCAGGACTGGCTTAGAAAAAACAAGACCTGTGTACAAAAGAAATATTATTAATTCTTAAAGATTCCCCATTTTCAATCCATGTTGTGTGCAGGCAAGAACACTACAGGAAAATTAAAATATCCCAGAAGATTGTTTTCCAAAATCCTGATTCCTGATACCACCTTAATTGTTCTAACAATACATACATTTTTCAGTAGGGTTCCTAAGGACCATAGTTCTCAAAGCCTTTATTTTCTACAGCAGATGACCTGCAAATTCTCCCTTGTGATCATGAATCTGAAAGTCTACCATAGAGTCAAGTCTGCAAAAGATGCTATATACAGAAAATCCTGTGGGTGGAGCAGGAAATGTGAAGGAAGTCAGACTCACCCAAGGAGACCAGGCTGCTGTAGTTCTCCAACATCACATCTGAGTACAATTTCTGCTGAGCTGGTTCCAGGCATTCCCATTCCTCCCGAGACATATCTACTGACATGTCCTTGAAGGTCAAAGATTGCTGAAAAAAATAGAGGAAAATTTATCAAGGAGACAACAGCACACTTCTCAGTGCCATCTAACATGAAAAGTATTAGAAGTGGGTTTGACCTAGGAGATAACCTGAATCATTTAGTAAGGCCACTTTGACCCTGTAATGCTCTCTAATGTATTTTGTAACACTGACAAGTGAGGATAACACATGTCTACAAATCCAAGGCAAAGACATTACTTTCCAGGAAAATAAACTTCAAAATGAAGGAATGGACACAGGCATATGGATTGTTGAGTGTTGTATTTGTATCATTCTGAATCAGCTGTGTATACTTCTCAGCCACAAAAGGCATGGTGATTTGAAAGTGCAAGTAAGTTCTGTAGGTTTCATTGAGGCAACAAAAATGCAGTTTTGTTAAAATGCAGATTTTGATTTAAGAGTTGTAGGTGAGACCTGTGTTTCCACATTTTCAGAAGCTCACATGATTATGTTTTATTGATTATGCTGTTACAACTGTCCCATTTTTTCCTCTTTCCCCCTTCCACCCTGCAACGCCACTGCTTTGTAATTGTCTGATTAAGTTCTTGTCCATGAGTCATACAAATAAGTTCCATGACTTCTCCACTTCTTATACTATTTTAAATTCCCATTTTGTACCCACCATTTATGCTTCTTCATTCTTGTTCCTTCTCCTTTACTGTTCCCTCACCTCAACCCTGCTCTTGACCCTCTATATGATTTCCGCCATTTCGGTCAATTTGTTCCTCTTCTAGTTGTTTGCTTATTTTGTGTTTCTTTTGATTTTGCTTTATATGTTCAGTTGTTAATACTGTGAGTTTCTTGTCATTTCACTATTCAATTTTTTAACATCTCCTTTTTCTTAGATTAACTCCCTTAAACATTTCATATAAGGGCTTGGTGATCATGAACTCGTTTAACTTGACCTTATCTTGGAAGCGCTTGATTTATTCTTCTGTTCTAAATGATAGCTTTGTTGGTTAGCTTAATGTTGGATATAGGTCTCTGCCTTACATGACCTTGAATACTTATTTTCAGCCCATTTTTGCCTACAAGATTTATTTTGACAAGTCATCTGCTACTCTTCAGGCAACCACTTTGTAGGTCACTCTCCTTTTGTGTAGTGGGGTTTAAGATACTCTCCCTATCTTTTATCTTGGGTAATGAAATTGTGATGTGTCTTGGTTTGTCCTTCCTTGGGAGCAACTTCTTTGGGACTCTGAGAACTTCCTTTATTCCTATGACTATTTCCTTCACCAGACATGATACGTTTTCCTTCATTATTTTTCAAATCAGATTTCCATTTCATCTCTTCCTCTTCTCCTCCTGGCAAACCTATGATTAAAATGTTGGAACGTTTAAAGTTGTCCCAGAGGTTACTCAGCCTCTCCTATTTTTTTTTTTAATTCTCATTTCTTCATTCTATCCTGGTTGAATGTTTCTTCCCTCTGGTCCAAATTTGTGATTTGAGTTATGGTTTTCTTCCTTTCCCTGTTGATCCCCTGTATGTGTTTCTGTATTTTGTTTTGTAGAGCCTGCACTACTTACTTTATTTTGTAGCTCTATTCAACCATTTCTATAGCACCCAGAATACAAGTGTTTTGAACTGTGTTTGGAGTGGTTGGCTACCTCCTTCGTGCTTAATTAATTTTTTTAGAAATGTTTATATATTTGTAGAGAGTGGCAAGGGAGGGAGGAAGAGAGTAAGAGAAACACCAATGTGTGATTGCCTCTAACATGCCCCATACTGGGGACCTGGCCAGGAACCCAGACTTGTGCCCTAACCTGGAATTTAACAAGAGAGTGTTTGGTTGACAGGCTGGCAGTTCATCCCATGAGCCATAGCAGGCAGGCACTGTTTGCTGGAATGTTGATCAGTTCTTTTGGGGGGGGACCATATTTCTCTGTCTCTTTGTACCTGGTACAATCCTAGGGGGGTGGAGCTTTAGGTATTTGCCAGGGCAAGGCAATCCACTTTGCTGTGTTGCAGTGCTGTTTGTGGGAGACAGGTCAGAGAGAAAAGAATCCTGCTTGCTCATCTATCACTCCATTTTCAGTCAATTCTCCCACTACCTTCAAGAAAAGTGCCCATTCTGGTGATAATTTTGTGGTGAGTGGTCTTGTGTACATCCCAAGATCCCTGCAATAGAATTTTCTGTGAGACTGAAAGTTTCTCCTGCTGCTGCAACCTTCACTGGTTTTTAAAGGCAGAGGTTTTGCGGCTTCAGTTTCCTGCATTCTAACCCTCCATTGCACTGTCTCTCTCACTTCTCTGTTGTTCTCCTGGTTTATCTGCATGGAAATGTAGAACCATCAGGTCCACCAACTGTTGCCTTGCTTCCCCTATCCTCCAGCCACTGCCTCACACTCCTGGTATGCCAGCTGCCAACATTGTGAGTCATCTCCACAATGACTGTTTTTGTCTGTCCCTCCTATTAGTCTGGATGAATGTTTCTTTTTTTAACTGCTTGGTTGTCACATGCTATACAATTCAATCTGTGGGCACTTCTGGTGCTTTGTTGTTTTTAATTGGTTGTTAGCTTTTTGTTTGTGCAAGGAAACAAAACATGTCAACCTACACCTCCATTTAACCGGTAGGAAAAACTCAACTTTTACTAATGAAGTCATGTTTTCTGGTATATATGCCATACTTCGGAATGACACAGAAAGAAAAACGCAGAAAATAAGTCCCACATGTCTTTGGCTAGAGTGACTTTTATACAATTTACATTTCCCAAGAACTAAGAAACATAGCAGCCATGGTTTTATTTGAAAATATAATTACTTTGAGAACAAGATTATTCTTGATATGAGTTTATTTTCTAAAACATACAGTAAAATGCAGACTGTGAGTTTTACTCAAAACTTGACCTACAATTAAAAAAATACAGGCAACTGCACATAGAAACATCATGGAATTTCACTGCTCTCTTTGAAACTGGGAAAAATGAAAACATCTTAAGAGAGCAAAAAAGACAAAATAACTCAATTGTTAACATTTTATGCACATAGTCAAACATACTCATAATATCAAAACTAGATGCAACTGAAAAGTTATAAAACACAGAATTTTATATCAATGTAATCTAGATTATTTTGTCATTTTGTAAATTTGGTGAATCTCTCTGTGAATGATCCTCTTTGGGTTTTCTAAACACAATAAAGAGATACAAACAAAGTGATAGAAAAGAAGTTAGAACTACTGTTCCTAAGTATTTTCTTTCTTTGAAAATGTCTCTGTATCACTTGTGGAGTTAGATCTTACCAATTGAACCAAATAAAACGTATTTTATAATATAATTCCTGTAAAATTACCTAAAATATGAAAAGTGATAATATAGAGTATGTCTGTAATATGAGTGTGCAACATAAGAAAAAGTGTACAAGGGACAAGGCCTCACTGATTACATCCTTCCTGTCAAAAGACAATGATCTCTATGAAATAAATGTGGGTCCTTCTTTTTTTAAAGCAAATAGAAGTTAAAAAGACAACAAAACTGTTCATATGAAATGCGATAGTTTTTTCACATCCCTCAATAATTCCCTGCCAGACTCTTTTTAATGATAAAGGAAAACTATTAACTCTACACTGAAGAGAGCACCTCAGCCAAGTGACTATCAGATGGACTGGAACAATGGATATTCAGAGACTGACACATGCAGAAGGACATGTCCTTACTGGTGAAACACTACTGGTGAAATACATAAATAAGAAAGTCATTATATGAACATAATCATAAATAAACCTTCAGTTTTTCATTGTCAATCCACGGGTACCTTCATATTCAGTACACTAATTATTGAAATACCAAGACTTTCTTATCAATTCAGTGATAATGTCTACTCAACTGACTAGTGTTTTTCAAAACATTCACAGTGATTCCCACTATGATATCTGCATTTTCTTACCTGTGATGTACAGAGGTGATGCTTCAGCTGTATGAACTTAACCATATATATCCCTGCTTCACCAATACCCGAGCTTCTGAGCCCATCCCAGAAAATATATTACACACGACTGCCATCCAAAGTTGAGCTGTGTTAGAGGAGATAAATTCAGTGCTTGAAGATTATTGATTAAAGGCAGGAAATCTTGACCTCAGGTAGCCTAGATAAAGACAATGCACAAAAGGTCTTGGGACAGGGAGGAAACTACTCTACATAAGCTATTGCCCCTGAGAAGCATAAAAAGTAACAGAAAGTAGTAGATTGAACCAACCTCACTATCCAGGAACATCAAACGAAAGAAATAAAGGTTGCTGGTTCTCAAGTTAATCACATTAGGAGAAATAGTTAGCACAGCCTCTGATGCAGGACATATCTTTTACCTGAGAAGCTGCCATGCCTTCCTGGTGTTGATATTCCTCGTACTCTGGGTTCTTTTCTCAGGAGACCTTATGCTGAGGAGTCAAGTTTGCATTCTGAGAATGTGTCTTCAAAGGCACAGCCCTTTTATTTATTCCCACCACAGTCACTGGCAGAAGAACCTGGGAATGCTGCGAGGCCCACCCTCTTCTCTCCTTTGTTATGGGGAGGCAGGACAATAAGCTGCTACAGGGAGACCACACTGAGTTTCTTTTTCTGTCTTCATGTGCTCTCTCCTCCCACAGAGGTCCACAAACTGCTACAGCAATAAGAACTTGTGCTGCTCTCCTGAACCGCACACCCAACAGAGCTTTTGGTTATCTCCCCTAAACAAAGCTTGTTCTCCACTCTCAACAGATGCATTTCAGAGTACTCCTGCCAATCAATGTGTTCACCTGAGCATCTCCTGGAGCACCTCATTTAACAATGATCCCTCTCAGGAGAAGTTCCTAACTCTGTGGGGGAGCACACAGGTGATGTCACTTCTTAGATCTCCTCAGGTGATCTAATAACAACCTGGAGGGGTAGAGTTGAGCTGTAAAAAACAGGCATAACTTTTGGGGATCAAGGTCCCACTTGATATCCATACTCTGATTGCTGCCCTTGCACTCACTTTCATGACTCCTTTCCTCCAAACCACTCTC